TGCATTTCGCGCACTCGACACGCACGATCTCCGCAGAGGGTTGCGCGCACACCGGACAAATCGCACTTTCGCCTGCATTTCGCGCACTCGACGCGCACGATCTCCGCAGAGGGTTGCATTTTCGGTTGACGCTGTTCGTCCCACCCTCCGCCTTTAAGAGAGAATTTATAAAGTGGGGAAATGTTTTTCATTATAGGACATCTCCCGTGCAAGTTTTCCATACTCACACTTGCATACTCATTGCATACTCATTACACTTGCATACTTTTGCACTTGGATACTTGCCGTTGGATGCTTTCATGCACTTGGATACTTGCCGTTGGATGCTTTCACTCTTCCACTTACACTGGGCTACGTATAGAAGTGTAAGTGTTCATGTTCAAGTGCAAGTGTGAAAGCGTAAGTGTTCAAGTGTACGTGTCGAAATGTCAGTGTTCAAGTGCAAGTGTGGAAGTGTCTGTGTGTAAGTGTAAATGTCGAAGTGTCAGTGTTCAAGGGATTTTCCGGAAGAACCCTTCGCAATGCTTTCGGGAAAAACGATAACAATGTTTATACATGCACATTCAGAACAAAAAGCTACTAGGGTCCCCTGGCCTTACTACTAGGAACAAGAAGCTACAAGGGACTCCTGGCCTTATTACTAAGAACAAGAACAAGAAGCTACTAGGGACTCCTTGCCTTGCTACTAAGAACAATAACAAAAAGCTACTAGGGACTCCTTTCCTTACTACAAAGCAATACTACTAGGAACTGAATGGGCTGTTTGGTCCATATGCTGCAGCTGTTTACATGAACCACGAAAATGGCAACCTGCAGAGGTGTCCGGAACGATAACAAAACGATAACGAAAACGATAAGGAAATGTAGCAAAAAGCAGCCCTAGTGGGCAAGTACCCATTTGACTGTTTTCACCAGACCTTTTGAAGGGCAGAAGTGTGCGATGTGGTAGTCTTGTTTAGCTGTCTATATCTGATTTTTGCTGCTGCCATGTCTTTACCACCAAAGACGGTGTACGCCTTGGTGCAGGCAGTGCTACGGGATCCTGAAGTAGGACCATGTAGACCACCAAAACTACCACCAAAGGACATCTTTTGATTTGTGATCTTCCACCAAAGATGCTTTCACCTGAGAAAAGGATAGGAGTAAAAAAACACGATAACATGGTTTCGAGGTATTGCAAAAGACACGGGGTTTTTTCAACACCCCACTTGGGAACAGTGGTTGCCCATTGATGAAAGAAATTGATGTCCCTAAAGGTGTGGGCCTTACGGGAGCCTTCTTTTCCCAACTGATGTCAGACGATTGAAAGACCTTCGGATTAGCCGATGTTCTTCTAGAAATTTGGAGGAAAGGTTGTAAACACATGCAGGTAAAAACCATCGCGTAGGACATGCCATCATCCCCATTGAAAGACTACTTGTCGACAGTCCACCCCTTGAAGGAACCCCATGGTTGTGGAATGTTAAATTTTTACAACTGCAAACTCACTCGACAAAAAAGACCCTGGCAGATCCTCGTGCAAAGTAGTTTGGTCAAGCGCACATTTGTTACTAAACCCGTCCACGTTTTCATGCTCGCTGACCTCCACAGTTTTCACCTCCACCCCGTTTGCTTTTCCATGCCCTCCATCGTTCCCCACCGACTCGCCCTCGAAGGAGAAACCGACCAGTCATCGGACGATCTGACGAAAAAGTGCGAAACATGCCGCGTGTTGGTCGATCCTTGGAGATGGAAAGCTGTTTGGAAGCCCATGCGAAGCTTCTGGTTGAAGATTTGGGTTCCAATTGATGGGAGACCCCTGTGTCATGTTGATTCTGGGGTTCTCGTGCGTTCTGATGCCTAGCCTAGAAGGGAGTGAAGATGAATGAAAGGAACAACGCTCAACCGGTTCCACTATATAGATGGTGTTACAATGCGTATAGTGTTCCGAAGCGTTCCGAAGTTCACATTCTCAACAATCGCGTTTGTGCGTCCATGATGGTCAAAGCTTAAGCCTCGCTATTGCCTGCAAAATTATAGTAATTAGTAATAATACGTATGATGCAGCCTAGCAAAAACGTCATATATAACTATATCGGCTGGCTGGTGAGCAGAACGAAGTGAGCAGTAGGGGGTGTAAGGGTGGTTGCGAGGTGGTTCCTTTCGGGCAGGGAGAACCCAGAACCTGGTTACGAAGAGCGAGAAAAGGGAGTTGCCAAAATGTAGCCAAAATGTATATTTATGCCGGCCTTGGTCCGTGATGCGAGTGATGCCTAAAAATATACTAGTGCATCAGTATCACAAAGTGGCCAGGATACCATTCAAGTGGACAGCACGTTGTTCCCCGGCAAAGATGGACGCGGTCAGCTGTAAAGACGGCAACCTGCAAGCAGGCGTGCTACCGCTTTAAAGACTGCAATGAAGAAGAGGGCAATGTGTGGTATCAGCAAAGGATCGTTTTCTGCACTGCTCTGCTGTAGAGTCGACTTGATCCAAGAGAGGGTGTGGCGGTGCCCTTTTTGACTGTTTTGTCGTTTTGTCACGGTGTTGCAAAAGAAACAAGGGCATCGAGCTAGGTCACCCAAGCAGCTGTAAAGAACATATGTTGAAAGACTATGTTACGGCGCCCTTTCTGATCGTTCTGTCACAGGGCACCAGAAAAGGAGCGCTATCTTGTGGGATCTAACTACAGCTCTAGAGAACATACGTTGAAAGACTGTGTTTGCGCCTGATTGAATTGAAGGGCATGTGTAGTGGTGCGTTTCTTGATCGTTTTGCTACACCTTTTGGTGAAGGGAAAATGTAGCAAAGGAGTGCTGTTTTATTCAAGCAGCTGGAAAGAAAAAACGGTTGAAAAACTGTGTTTGCTCTGCTGTAAAGACCTTCTATCGTGGCAAGTTTAGTGCATAAAAGCGCCACGTAGACTGCACTCTGCAGGCCGGCGCATGTCCGGTGCAAACCAAGTACATGGAAGATCGCATAGATGGTATTCTGCATGATGTACCTCGAAGTCTTTCACTGAGACGGTACGGCGGCAAGCCAGCAGGCGTGTCGCCGCTATAAAGACCTCAATGAAGAAGACAATGTGTGGTGCAAAGGATCGGGTTCTGTACAGAAAACAAGGGTGGGATGCACCGGACCGCTACCAACGGACGCAGTAAGAAAAGGCCATGTGTGATGGCGCCCTTTTCCATGCGTTTTGTTAAAGTTTTAGGTGAAGAAAGACGGGCACCAGCTAAGGAACGCTTCAGCTGGGGTCCCCCCAAGCAGCTGTAGGAAAAAATGCATTAGACCTTAATGTTTGCTTTGCTGTCAGGACATGTGATGCTGACGAACGCCAATTCGAGGTTCCTCTTGCTGTTGTTGGTCTCAGTGTCTACGAGGGCTGGCTTTCGTCCCCTCACTTCTCAGGTAGGTAGATACATATTAAAAACACACGTTCCTTGACCATCTATTTTTTACATCTAATGGGCATACTGCGGCATACCCAACTGAGAACTCCCAGCTTAAATCCCAAAGGTTTGGTGGATTCTGTGGAGCACTGCCCCAAAATCATGGGATGGCATGGACTGAGGTACTTGGAAAGATCTACTCTCAAGAGTGGCCCATCCCAGACCTTGCCCGGCCAGGCACAGTTGCGCACGTCTGGAGCAGCCCGGTGCTGAAAACAACTTGCGGCAACGGCAACAGCAAAGGTTGAGATATATAGAACCGTGAGTTTGTGGAGAGGGGGAGAGGGGGAGAGGGAACATCCGCTGCGGTGTAAGCGTCGATGTGTTCGACTATGAAAAACGGCTTGTTGAGTTCCAGCATACCATGCGCACAGACTCGAACAGGAGCTAGCAACCATGCGGGAAATGCACCCCAAAGGCTTGTGGACCACATGTTTACATATATGTTTACCCTGGTGGCAATGGTGCCAGTGTGCCAGTCCTGAGCTACCCTTGGAGAGAGAGAATATTGTGAACTCCAAAAAACTTGGCAGCTTGCTTGTGAGATTGCGAAGCAGATCTTTGGTCAATTCTGCGAACCTTTCCCGCTGCCAGCTGAGTGTCAGAGGGGTGCCACTCAGAGATATTTCTCAATGGTCCGGCACTGAGGGAGGGCACCTTGGAGAAGGTTGAACAGTGGGCTCAATTTTGGTGTGTGTTCTTCGTGGTCATTTTGTTGCTGCAGTTTCCATCAACTCCTTAAGGGCAAATGTCTTTGAAATTTAGTAACATGATGACGTTTGTATTTGATGGCAATGCGGCTTTTGGAAGAGCGCTTTCTTGGTTGGCAGAGCGGAGATTCACTAGAGGAATTCGCTTCGTGTTTGGAGCCAAAGATGCTCCACTGGTAGTGACCTACATACGCCCACAGGTTGGCATCACAGTCATAAACTCAGAGGATTTGTGGGGGTAGAGATACTGAAGACCCAAGACTATCACGACAAGTATACATCCCCAGACCAATTTGTTGATATGTATCTGTATTTGTTAATTGTTTTCTTGTGTTGGAATGCCATAATGCTTCTTCCATTCCTCAGGCGGTCTGAGGGCCATGGCGCAGGCAGTGTCCGTTTGTGTCGGGTCCGTTGGATTTGCGGAGAGGCATTTCTGGGACTAGCAGGCGGCTTAAACCTGACCCCGTTGCAGGAATTTTCAGGGAATCCAGGAACAACCTTCGGATCGTGAGGCCTTTGGTGGGCGCAGGATAGACCTTTTCACTTGTCTCGCGCGCAGGCCGAGGAGGACGATGAGGTTCTGTTCGACGCAGGCGGAGGGGATCAGTTTGAAGCGGACATCTCATGGTAATGACGGTGCAATCTTTAAGACAGCAAGTTTGTGTATTTTCGATGCTTCAGGTGCTCCAAGACATGTCAACGATGCATGGATGACAACCAGCACTTGCAGGATTTCTGCCATTGAAAGAAAGCCCTGCCATTGAATGACGTTCTCCGAGTCATTGCGCTAGAGAGCAACAAACAGTGGAGCGAGAGTTCCATCTTGCACCGAGTGGGGGATAGGGGTGACAAGCACATGCCCACCTGTCAGGGAGAAACATGGTCACCTTGTGGTGATATCGGGTGAGTCCTCTTAGTGGTAAACCTTCTGTTCTTAGCCTGGCTGGGCAATCTTTTTTGATTGGAGAGGCAGGTCGGCAGGTGCTGACCCCACTCACCTTCAAAGGAGTTGCCTTCGGGTTCATCAAAGAAACTGGGATCAGAGCTGCTGGGATCAGACATCACGGCTTACGCGCGCCGATCATCTGCAGTTTTTCTGGAGTTTGCTCAAGATTCACCGTCAACGTCATGCTTCAAAAACCTGAGTGCAATGACAAGGCCCGGCGCTCTGGGTAAAAATGTAGAGACTCTAGATTAACCCTCATGTGAATTGGAACATTCTTTTCATATGTGGGGGATTTATCAATCATATTTGTCTACATTATTTAGATCTCATTGAAATTCTCAAAGATTGGGAGAAGACTCTTCCAGTTACTGTTCATTGTGCGAACGCTGACTATCTCGAAAATGGCTGTCGATAGAACATACAGACGCTATATACAGGACGTTTGCTATTCGCCAATCATCATTCCAAAAAGCCTCCCTTCCAAGTGAGGTTGTGAGAGTTCCTTTTTTTGTAGAACGCGTCGACCATCATGCCTTAGTCCCTTCCTAGGAAACCATTGTTGTGGCAGTTGTGGCCATTCCTTGCCCACAGTAGATGGATGCGGATTGCACAGACCCTTGAACTTAGATGTTTTAGGATACTTACTGTAGATAAGGAAATTTTCAGCCTTAAGCTATCTCTTGAGGTTTGGTGCAATGCAATGACAACTTAGCCGCTAAGTGTGGAGCTTCCCCAGTGGCCAAATGAGTGCAGAGCTTGTGAACATTTGGGACCATCCTGCAAGGCCAGCCGGAAGGGATCCAAGCAGTCCAAGAGCTCCAGATTTGGCTTCAACAGTGCTGCTTGGTACGAGTTGGTGCAAGCTTGGCACCAGCAGGTTGCATTCAAGTTGGACCCCTGTCTTCCTTTTGGCACCATAAACCAGATGGAGGTATTTGAATCGAACATCCTGCTTGCTAATAATGCTTGTTGTGTATAGGCGGAGTTGTGACTCAGGATCCAACAGTAGAGCTGTGGATTGCAGAGGCATGTCCACATGAGAGTTGCTAGTTCGTGTAGCTCAAACCGTCACCGTCGTTTTTGAGTGTCAATCAGCTTTGGGATGCCACATTGGGCCCACATGGTGTTGGTGTTCTGACGTTCTGATTCCGATCAAACATGATCAACCTTCAACGGAAATGAGCTGGAGACACCCAAACACTTCAAAACACGACGCAACATGTTAGAACACGGCAGAAACGGCTAGAAACACCACGCCATTCTTTGGAATGTCAGCCCCCAGCTACCACATGACAGTCGGTGTGTTTTTCCTTTCACGGGTCGCTCCAAAGCGAGATGATTTGGGTACATCAATCGTCCACCGTCAACGAGGGTCGTGGGGTGGCAAGATGCCATCCGATGAAGCTTTGGAGTTTGGCAGCGCAGACTTCGAAGTGAGGTTTGCGATGGCAATGGGGATGCTCCCAGAGCAGCCCTGAGCGACATTGATGTGGAGGCAGCCCTGATGACCACTCAGGGGGTGAAGCTGTTTTAGCGTGTTCCTACGCCACCTGTCAACTTTAGCCGCGTGCTCCCTACAACCCCAATGTCATGCGCTCGGGATTGGCTGAAATACACAAACACAGCATGTAACTAATGAAGTAGTTCCCCCAAATCGGCCAATTCCACACCGGACCACAACCTGGCCAGGCCAACAGCCGGAAGCCTTCCAAGCTGTCCAGAGTCTCCAGAGCCTCCAAGGGCTTCCAGGGTGTTCGTAGCGCGATCCTGAAGGTGAGGAACTCACACTGTTGCGGATGCGGGGTGTACGGATATATGGGTCGCTCCAGGGCGGTATGAAGCGGCCCACGACATGCGTCGATCTATATCACTAAGCTGCTTCCATCCTGTCCCACCGGCGGCACTTCAGTCGTCTTGGTGCCGCCGGTGGGAACGTTGCAATGATTACGGGTCACTACAGGATCCTAAAGGGTTGCGTTTCATCACCCTTTTGTATATTTGGTACCTTTTTGTCAAAGGCTTTGCTTCATGTTATGCCCATGCGAACCTTGGAGCAGTTGGCTCTTTGACTGTTCGAAATGTCCCAAGGCCTTGATAGAACGTCACGAAGATACAAATCCTCCAAAGCGGGCAAGAGCAAAGCACATCAAAGTATTGAACACATGTATACTATTATACACATGTTGCTTCTCTTTGCGGACCTTTTATCTTATTGAAGCCCCATGAAGCCCACGGATGCTCACAAAGATACACATTGATCCCTTCATTTCTGGCCGGTCCCCTCTCGACGGCTGCAATGCCTGACGGGAGCATATAGGTTGCGCAAAGCCCAACAGGTGGTCTATATATTGGATCTCAACCTTGATCTTGAAACACTGGTTCTTTGGTTTCAGTGTAGGGTCCGTTTTTGCCACCAAGAATGGGGCTTGCAAGCAGGACTGAGAAGGAGAGAAAGTACATGACAGGACATGGATCAGTTTTGCTTCTCTCCTGTTTCCAGCGATTGTGTAATTGTATGGCCTTCCCGAGTTTACAGAATTCGGAACATGTATCACGTATTTATATAACTTTGTTTAAAGGTTGCGTTGGAATCCTGAGTTCCAAGTGTTGTCGTCGCCAAGTGTACAAACTGAACATATATTGCATTGAAAAGTTGTCAGTAGTTGAACAATCTCATGTTCATTCCCTCTCACCGAACCACTTTTGGCTTTGACCGGAAAGCATAAAAGCCAATCTATAGGCCCTTTTGCATGGCCATTGGGTGTGTTCATCCCTTGTTTCCATCGGCCATTTGTCACCTCGCGGAGGTGGCAGAGGCCAACAAGGCTCCCAACTTGTCGGTGAGCGAAGTGGATCTTGAGGCGGACATTTCCCGCGGAGACTTGCGGCATTCTGTGGTCTAAAGGAACCCCTACATCGATTCGGTCCAAATACCAAGGGGAGATGTTCATAGAAAAAGCGACCTTTTTGGGGTTGCGCTTGGCAAAAGGTTCCATTTTGCAGTGCGTGGCGCGGGTCTGTAACATTAAATCAGGTTGGACTAGGTCTTCGAAAGGCTGGCCTGGGTGGAACATAGAACAGGATTCAGCCTGGTTTGGCTGCTTGGCCCGTGCTCTTTTAGCAATCCTTTTAGCTAGACATAAGAAGGTATATCAGGGGTGTATAGACATATTGTAGATTGTGTGTAGTACACTATTGCAGCTATTAAACCTACCTGACACGACCCCTGCAACGCCACTAGCGGTTTTTTGTGCCAAAGGTGGATCCCAAACTCAACACGTGCCTCTCTTGGCCCAGGCGGTGGGCCCGGACATCAATGGGAAGATCAGCATCCTCACGCCACGCGACATGAACGATGTGTTTGTTGGTTTGTCCGATGATATGCAGTGTGGACAATCCTTTCCTTACTGAGAGGCGTTTGGGGAACTGGCATTTGATGAGTCATTTGATGATATTTTTGTTGTGTTAGCTAGGATCAAGGGCTTGCGGATGATTGCAATCTTTCAAGTCTGGGCTGTGCGAACCATTCCGATGAAATGACACAATTTTGTCCGCAGTTTGGAGGATGAACGCCTCTCCTGCCGGTTCGCAATGCTGCGTTGGGCCCAAAGATCTCTCGTCTCACCGACCCCCAGTTTTTTGACGTCCTGAATGTTCTACCAGGTTCTACCATGCTCCAAAACATGCCGCCTGCTCGCTTCAAACACATGCCCAGTGCCGGCCCCATCCCGTCGATCTCCCCCGCTTGTTCCACCTTGCGAAACTGTGAGGCGGAAGACTCTGGGTCTGACTGTGGGGAGCTTTCTAAGTGGCTTCATGATGGGAATTCTCATGGGCACTGGCTATGGCCGCTGGGCGCTGTCTCACTCCGCGTATCCCGCCGTAGAAGGTGGTTTTCCGTGATTCCGAAGCTTGCGCAAGTGCAAAATAGTGCAAAGGTTGATTTGTGATATTGATTTTCGTTGATGTTTCAATTATCATGGAATCATGGTACATACAGTAACAACCATGCACATGTCCATGTGATTGGCTAGTGGTTTGGCAATTGGTAGGGTAAGCTCAAGTTGATTCAAGTGCAGGCTCTTGCCATCCCAAGTGCATAGCCTTGGCACTTTTTGCTTCATGACAAGTAGGTGCACGCCACTGTGCCGTTTCGGTGGCCCCCGCAAGATCGGGGTGTTGACGCAGCTCCCCAACAGACTCAGACATGTGGACTTGCGGTGCAGGACGAGATGCAAAGGACTTTGATCAGAAGGGTTCTTTACAGGTATCGACCGCCGCATCACCTACGACATTTGTTCGTAGCATCATTTGCTTGTCGCTGCTGAGGCTTTTACCTGGGCTATTTGGGCCTTGATTCCTACGTGTTGTGCCTTGCCCCTGAGCAGCTAGGGACTTCACCCTCAAGCCTACGGGGCTTTGATGATTTTCATCCTGAAGTGGATGTCCATGCTTCACCTGGAAGTTGTCCACAGCGTCCCTGATTTCGGATGAATTCTGAGATGTTCAAAAGGTTCCACCACCTGTTCAGGGCTACCAGGGGACTTCCCTACACGAATAATATGGGATTCCATCGGGCACAGGCTTGGATGGTCCTAGTCCTGATGTTCGAACGAATTCACCAGCAGACTCTGGGTGCTAAAGATT